CCAGTCCAGTAGCTTTTAAATTGAGCTAACACTTAACAAAATAGGCAGATAATTATTTTTCAAAAGATCAGTACCAATATTATGATACCAGGCATTATGTGAGAACTGGACCCCGTACCAAGTCATTATTTATTGCTGTTACTAAGATTTGGTTTTTCTGAATCCTATTTTTAAAAAATTCAAAGATTAATTAAGATTGGAGAGATAGTTCAGCAATTAACTTTCTGATCTCGCATAGGACCTGTGTTTGGTTTCTAGCACTCACGCCAGAATGCTCACACCATCCTGTAACGCAAGTTTCAGGAAATCTGACGCCATCTTCCAGCCTCTGCACATATGTGGCATGCACTCACACATACATATAAATAAAAATAAAAATAAACATTCTTTAAAACTTCAATAAATAATGGATCTCTTAATAGCAATTGTCTTCCTGAAATGTGAGCCATCACCACTGAACCAAAGAATTCCTAGCAACTTGGTCAGTTACATGCTAATTCCATAAACAACTACCAAATCCTAACTCACACTTCTTAAATGCTAATATAAAAGGTCTCATATTCCTTACGAGAATAATAATTCTTTTTATCAATGCCCTCCAGATGCCCAGAAATGTCACATTTTAAAAACCTGTCATTTTAATTCCAAAACTAAAGTTATTTCAAAAAGCACAGCTGAAATAAATCTGAATTATTTTAAACATTTTTAGGAGAACAACTACCATGGAATTTCCTCCCCCGTTTAGTTCCAAGAGCTTAAATGAAACATTCATGCATTAAATTCAAAGGCTGACTGTCAAATAACTTCACTTTAATAAAAATTTGAATTACGTGCCTTAGGGCATTATTAAATATCAAATAAAAAGAACACATCCATAAATCTGACTTCCCAATATAATTTTATGTAGAACTATGAATACATTTATATTATACATTTCAAGACAAAAGGATGAAAATGCATTCAGAAAAGGACAAAATCAGAATTAGAAATTTTGAAGGATTTCCCTCTTGGAAAAAAAGATATCTCAATTGTAATTAGTTAAAACCTAGAAAGAGCAAACATCACTTTTTTGTCAAATAATTAAGGATCTGGAATATACATAATCTCATAAACAGTATGAGATTTCTGCATCTGTGTGTGGGAAAGACAGACAGAGGGACGAAGGACACAAGGAGAATAATGACAGCTCTTTAAGTACTCAGAAGCAACTCTGGTCTAGACTAACTATGAATCAAACACCCAAGCCAGTAATATGTCATTAAAAGTGTCATTTACAGTGAATTATATTCACAAGAAAGTGCCAACTATGGCCTGAAAACCTCTTAAGTTGCCACTTACCAGCCCCCTTGCATCTCTCTGTGACAGGGCCCCTTCCTATGTCTCTGCCACTAGGGTCTTTTCCCAGCTCCACTGGGGTCTTTTCCCAGCTCCACTGGGGTCTTTTTCCAGCTCCACTGGGGTCTTTTCCCAGCTCCACTGGGGTCTTTTCCCAGCTTCACTGCCACTGTACCCTTCTGGTTACTACCCTATTCCTCATTTAAAAATGAAAGCAAGGCCCAAACAGGTCCAATCTATAAATCTGGACTCCCTTCCTCCATCCTCTTGGAGCATGCAAAACACCTATTCTTAATAAAACTGTCTTCCAGGTGTGCTCGGGGTTACAGTCTTCCAAGTTTTCAAGTCTTCAGTAGCAAGATCTTGTCCCCCAAGAGCAAAGTGCTCAGCTGCATGCTCTTCTCCTTCCCCACACACTCAGACAAGTTCTAGTATTTCTTGTGATCGAAATAAAATCTGTCTTGGCATTCTGCCCCACCCGACCCAGTTGATCATGATAAATACATAAGGTATCTACGTATAAAATGTCACGATGGATACTGTTAATCTGTGTGCATAACATGTTGATAGCTTTTTTAGGAAGATCAATAAAGCTAGACAGTGCTACTGCCTGAAAGGACTGTAGTTTTCGCTTCTGATGGGACTGAAAGTACTTTGAAAAACCACTGGGTAGCCACTTATAAAGTCAAACAAACAACCCTTTAAGAATTGCCCAGGGTGTGGGACCTGTAGCCCTGCCCCTCTATTAACTTCAGTCATGGCAACATGCATCCTTCATTGCCAAGTCACTCACACCACCAGGGTGGAGCCCCCTTTGACCTCAGCCCAGGCACTGCTAAGAAAAAGAAGTCTCCCAGTCAAGCCGTGTACATCAACTTTCCAGCTTCACTGTTCAAGAAATGGACTGACTGCTTTAGGCAATGAACAGCCTGACTCTCCTGTCTTGTGATTAACTACACTGTAAAGCCCCATATAAGGTTTCATAAACACTTAGTAAAATAATCCCTCTGATACATTTGAATGCCATATATTTTTTCCTCTATGCCAAATACGTCCATATCTTACACAGACTAATTTTCTGATGCTTATTTATGACTTTCAACTTGACTCGATGAAGAAATACCCAGGAGATTAGTAAAGTTCACCACTGGGTTTGCATGTGAAGGTGTTTACAGAACACTAGACCATGTGGGCTCAGACCTACCCAATGGATTAGTCCTTTGGTAGATTCATAATATGATGACATTGATGGAGAGGGTGAGAGGTAGGGACGATGCCTAGTTGGAGGAAGCAGATGACTAGAGAATGTCCTTCGGGCTATATCCTGTCCTGGCCTCTTCGTTACATGTGCTTCCTGTCTCCCAGGAAAGTACCCTATCACAAGACTCTAGTACCATCATGTTCTGCCCAAACAGAGCGGAGCAACCATGGCCTGAACTTTTCGAAACTCTAAGCTAAAAACAGCTCCTTCCTCCGTAAGTTGTTTCTGAGCAATGAGAACACTAACCAGTGCATCTCTTCATCTCTACCCCTAAATTTTAGCAACCTCCCTATCAGCCCACTATTGTGATAGACAGGTATCTCTTTATCGACATGCTCCAACATCAACTCTTCATCTTTCTGATCCCAAAATGACCTTTGCCAGCTTTCTTGCTGTTACTCAATTGCATCCTACCCATGGTTTCCTAAGGCCCAAACCTCAGCATTTAACCTGACAATTCCATCTCCCGTCATCCTTACCCAGTTCATCACTGGATATCATCTATAATTTCTATTTCCTATACCTTACCTAATCTCCATCACTACTGCTTTTAATCTAAGGTCCAGGCCTCCATATCTATAATTTTGGCTACCCAACAGATTTCTAAACTCTTTTACTCCTGCTCTGGTCCACTTTAATTCAATCTATTCAATTTCTTCTCAGAGTGTACTAATAAAAAGAAACACGGGATAAAGTCAGTCCCCTGAGTCAAAGTCTTTACAGGTTCATGTTATGTCCACAATAATATAAAGATACCTTAGTGTGACTGACAACATCCGCCACTTGGGTCTTACCTACTTCACCCTTTATTTCTATACTCTAAACACACCAGGCTTTCCTTCCGGGACCTCAGTGCACCCATATCTTACCTCCTCCTTGGCAAGCATGCCTTGAGGCCTTTTCAGAAAGATATTTCTCTTCCTAGAAGTTCCTTTGGCACTTCCTTAGTTCTTTTCATTCACATAATATATTAACATTTGCAACTGTGTATTTTTGAGTCCTATTTCTCTACTGTCAGACTTCTTACCTCAGACTCTAGGATCTATGAGGGCAGAAACCATGAATGTCTTTCCCTGGGTACACCCACAATCAGTCAGAAAATATTCTCAATGGTGATTTTGGACTTAGTTCATTCTAGCTCTTCAGCTCATCTATTTTGAGGTTTGGCCTAAGGCATCCTCAGACTTTCTCTTTTTAGTGTCTGAATTACTGTATACGTCTTCCCATTCCTAACATGGTAGATTTGCTGGACCTTCATCATCTCACATTAAAGTAAGCAGAATATTAACTACACTGGCCAACTGAGAAAGGACAAGAACTGAGTCTAATGCTCTACATGGGCAGTTCTGAGAAACTTCCAGTTGCCCTGAAGTCAATCCAGGTATAACATGTGATGTGTTATAGTGGGTTCATTTTCGACCCTTAGAGGTTTGAAATACAATAGAAAAATAAGAAACGTAAGTAGCTAAGTGGAAACGGGGTCATGAAATGAAGTCTGCTTTAATAGGAAAGCGGGGATACCTATTGAAATCAGTGTTTGAGCTGAGCCCAGGGCAGTTACGGGGTCAGCAGGCAAAAGGATGGGTATACAGCACAGAGTGAGCAAAGCATACTCCAGAGAATAAGACTCTACTGCACAGAGTAATAACAGAGACAAGAAAGAAGACTGAAGAACACATGACCATCACCTTTGGAAATCTCCATCAACAGTGGCCAGGTCATGAGACTGTGAGCCCGGCAAGGCCTGAGATTTGCACTCAGCTGTGACTTCCTCATCCCTTGTACAACTCTCATATCATGCCATAGTTCATCACCAGTCCCAACTTCGTCCTGCTTCTCCAGGCACTGTTCTGGCAGATGTGTCCCCCTTATAGGAAGCAGCTGTCTGCCACAATGTCTCTGATCTATGCACACTTAGGTAGCTTACAAGGTAAAGAAAGATTCCAATACAAGTAATCTTTACATATGTTTGTCTTTCCCATGTTTGTGAGTTCCCTAAGGTTAAGTAATAAATATGCTAAGTTCAATATATTGACAATCAATAAAATAATGTACAACATTAAAATAGCTAACATGTGCTTCTTGACTGCGCAAATAAAAAGTACTTCTAAGAAACAAACAAAAGAGAGTAATGGACAGGAGTGTGCATCTCAGGTGTCTTTCCTTATGAAAGCTGCTATTAAAGTAGAAAATGGGATTACGGGGATGTTCAAGTAGAAAATAAATGAATCATATATTTAAAAAATATTGCATGAAACAAAAGGGACCACCTGACTTGTCATTAATGGGGCACGAGAATGCACCATAAATGTATTAAAATGAAGTGTATTCCAGCAGTCAGCCTACAGAGTGACTTTGGGATGCTGGGTTAAGGTAACTCAGTTCCTTGTCCAATCTCACATACCCTGATGCAGATGGGTTTGATCACAGTCTTTCTGGCTACTGGAATGCAGCTCGAATGACTCTGTCACTCAGGGGCTGGGTAGGTCGGAAATTGTCTCCCAAAATCCCATCACAGCCTTCTACAAGTTCTGCCCCCTTAACATGTGTTCTCAGCCTTCGGAATTCTTCTATCTGAAAAGAAAAGCAGAATAAAGGCGATTAGTCACTAACCGCACATTATCAAGTTCAGAGTTTCATAAACAACCCAAAATATTCATAGATGACAGTATACGAGAAAAAAAATGAAGGGTGAACTTCAAAAAGAGAAAACCAGAGCTGGAGAGAGCTGAGTGGTTAAGAGACAATGCTCCCCTTGTTGAGGACCCAAGTTCAGTGCCCAGCACTTACACTAGGCAGCTCACAACGGCCTGAAACTCCAGCTCCAGGGATGCATCCCCCACCTCTGGCCTCCGAGGGCACTGAACTCATAGCACACATACACACATACACATACACATACACACAAACACACGCACACACACACACATACACACACACACATACACTCACACACACACACACACACACATACATACATGCTTGCACTTTAATGATAAATGAAAAATTTTTAAACCAGGAAAACAGATTTGGTTGTTCCAAACCTAAGGATATGAGACAAGGCCCTTAAAAGAAGACAACAGGAATCTGGTAACAAGGAAGTAAATGTTCTTAAAATTTTCCCAAGCACATTCCAAGCTACCATGTCACTCTGTGTCAGCACTGGTTAGAGCTGCTACAGGAATTCATGGACTCCTAGATTATCTTTGCCAGGTCGTCATCTGACAGAGAATTATAGTGCCTAGATTTTATAAAGAACCCCCTAAAAAGACTAAACATTAAGATAATAAACAACCTGTCAGGCAGTTGTTTATTAATAAACAGGAGGCAGAGGCAGGAGGATCTCTGTGAGTTGGAGGCCAGCCCGGTCGACAGAGTGAGTTCCAGGACAGCCAGGGCTGTACAGAGAAACCCTGTCTTGAAAAACCAAAAATAAATAAATAAATAGATAGATAAATAAATAAACAAAGAAGAAAGAAAAAGAAAAGAAAGCTGATTAGAAAATGGCCTGTGGGAACTGGAGAGACTGCTCAACAGCTAAGAGTGCGAACTGCTCTTACAGAGGATCCAAGTTCAGTTCCCAGGACCCGCCTGCATCAGAGGTTCAAACCCACCAGTAACTGCAGCCCAGAGGACCTGACACCCTCTTCTAGGCTCTGAGGGCGCCTGCACATACCCACACACAGACAGACACATAATTTAAAAATAAATTAAAATCGTTTTTAAGATGGGCTATGAACTTAGCAGAGAATTCTCAAGTGTGTGTGTGTGTGTGTGTGTGTGTGTATGTGTGTGTGTGTCTAACTAAGAAACACCTTAATAACATCCTTAAGACTCAACATCCTTAGCCATCAGGAAAATGGAGATTAAAACCATTTTAAGATTCCTTCTCTCCCAAGTTAGATCATACTGCCATCATCAATAATACAATCAACAAACACTAATGTGGATATAGCAAAAGGGAATTCTCATGCACTGTTGATGGGGGTGTAAAGTAGTGCAGCCATTTTGGAAATAAATCCGGGTGTTTAAAAAAAAAAAAAACTAGACATAGAACTACCATATGACCAAGCTACACCATTCCGGGGCACAAACCAAAGAACTTCATATCCTACTACAGTCACATGTACACATCCATGTTTGTTGCTGCTCTATTCATAATAGCTAGGAAATGGAATCATACCAACGAATGAATAAGAAAACTGTGATACATATACACAATGGACTCTTACTCAGTTGTAAAGGAAAATGACATCTGCAAATGAGACTGGAAAGATCATACTGAGTGAGGTAGCTCAGACCCAGAAAGACACAAGAGGAGGATGGATAGGCTAACTGTGCTGGTTTGAACGTAATTGGCCCCCATAACCTCATAGGGAGTGGCACTATTAGGAGGTGTGGCTTTGTTGGAGAGGGCATGGCCTTGTTGGAGGAAGTGTGCCACTGTGGGGATGGGCTTTGAGGTTTCCTATGCTCAGCATACTGCCTGGTGTCTCAGTTGACTTCCTGTTGCCTGCAAGATATAAGACTTTCAGCTACTCCAGCACTATACCTCCCTTCATGCCACCATGCTCCCTGCCATGATGATGACAGACTTAACCTCTGAAACTGTAAGCAAACTCCCTCAGTTAAATGTTTTCCTTATAAGAGTTGCTGTGGTCGTGGTGTCTCTTCACAGCAATAAAAACGCTAACTAAGACACTGACATAAACTAATTATGGATGAAACGGTCTTATGAAAACACACTAGTTAATAAGCTAATTTTAAAATACAACTTTAAAACAATGAATTCAAATGGAGGTACCTTAAATGGGGTGGGCATGGCCACTCCCAAAGGATATGGGTTATTAAACAAAACTTGCAGTGTAAGGCATGGGATACTTCCCCACAAGTTATTGGTCAGGAAGGCACCCAAAAGGATATTGTCATTGCCCCTCAATGCTCACTAGAACTGCAAGGTAAGACCTTATTGCTGAACACACCACATTCTACGACTGCAGGCCAGAGAGATGTCTATCTCAATCTGCCCAGAAAACTTCCCTGCTCACTAGCACTCACAGTGCTGGACGATGCTATGCACACAGCTGAGGGTAAAATGACATTACTGTTCTCACACAGCATGGGAAGCTGAATGCTACAATACTGACCGGCCAGGACAGATGTCCCCACTGGTGTCATAGTGGCACAACTGTAACAAGGTGACTAACTGCACACACAGCAATCAGGCAGAGGCACACGACGGCCCCAGGTGCTGAAAAGAAGGGACTGAGTGCTCAGCTCCACATGGGACATCTTTATCAACCTCCCACCCCTACCAAGGCTCAAGGAACGTCACAGAAGAGGAGACAGAAAGAATGTAAGAGCTGGAGGATGGGAGGAGTGATGTGAAGTGTGTGTTCTGGACATGACACAGCTCTTACATTCATGAGTCACAGTAACTATGGTTGCCCACACAGACATTTTTAAGATCAAGCCATTCAATATAGTTGGGGGATGAACCCCTGTCCCTTCACCTTACTGAGGTGCCACTGGTAGTTGTTAGCTGCTGAAGAATGGAGAATCACTCTTCTTTGAGAGTATGGCCACAAGTAGGTTTCCCATACTCTAATGGATGGCCCTGTACCCATGCACATATGAATAGCACTAATTGTATTTATCCCAATTAAGTTATCACAGAAGAGGAGGAGGAAGAACAAATGAAGAAGTGTTGGAGGGTAAGTATATGACAGTATTCCATTATATCCATGTATGAAATATTAATAGAGTAAAATAAATGAATAAAAGAACTCATGGTTTCCTTCATCAAAAGACTGCCCCTGCCTCTTGTCTAGCCCTGTGACTTACCTGTGACATGTGGAGAGGTTTCCAGATTTCTGAGGACCTTGCTCTGACCTGTCAGGTTTGAGAGTTCTAAGCATCTGTAGTCTACCAGATGTGAATGTGAGAAGAATGTAAGTAGCAAGCAAAAACAATCATGTGCATTCCCCAAGCTCACTCCACCTGTTACCTGAATAACCCACAGCATGTCACTTCACTAAAATGTTACACAGCAATACAAAGCAGGCGTGCTTCATTCTTTTCACAGAGGAGGAAACTGGAGCTAGAGAAGCAAAGAATATCTCCAAATTACCTATTGCCCCAAATCCACCTGACTCTTCCCATCTCAACAACACCTCATTAAAGTTCTAGTCAGATCAGTACAACTGTGCCTTGCATGTCCCAGGTCCTGAGCACTGTGGTCTGAATACCCATCCAGTCAACATATTTGTACCAGAAGACTGTGGCTACAAAGGTCTTCAACACAGAAGAAGTCTGTCTTCCTTAAAGAGAAGCAATGCAGGAGATCGACTAATTCAGGGTTTCACACTAAAAGCCCAGACTTAAAAAGGGCCAGGAAATCTCTAAACGATAGCAAAACCCTACACATGTGTTCTCCTAAGTCTCATGGCATTCTAATTAAGGGCATTCCCATATGTGTTGGAACACAGAGCTGGAGAAAATTAAATGGGTTAGATTAGCAGCCTGGTTACAAAGATGACTTGTAATGTTTTATTTTTCTATGTGTCCAAATACTGATTGATTTTTCTAGTGAGAAAAAGTCTGATCCAGCTGGAACTGCCCTGTTGATTTGCTTTTTCACTATGCCTACATACCGTGTTTACATAGCGGTGCCAGCCAGGTAAGCAAGGCACTACGAAATCAACAGGTTTTTTTCCACTAGACCTTCTCAGGGTCTTGCACAGTACCCTCTGCTTATGGCAATAGAAGCTTTCTAGAACTGAGGAGAATCCTCTGTCAGTGTTTGCTTTTTCCCTTCATATTTGCTCCTAAGGGTTAAAATGGAAAGACCCTGGGCAGCACAGAATCCTGCACTATTTGAAAGTGGTAACAGAGTGAGCTTGCATCCAAATGACTGCTGTTCTCTCTTGGCTCTGCTACCGGGGACCTAAATGACCAAATGACATCACCTCTTTATGTCCCTGTTTCTCCTGTGCAGCAGAGATGACAATGATGGCAATAACACAGGGTGACATAAACAGTGAAAGAAGAGCCATGAACAAGCACTCAGCAGTGCTCCAGCAGTGCTCCAGCAGTGCTCCAGCAGTGCTCCACTGATCACAGTTACTAACAAGCCCTCCACTGTGTGACTTCCTTATATGTCAGACCTTTAACAATTGAGATAAATCCTTAGCTAAACTGACAGTAAATCAATCCAACAGGAAATCTTAAAGTCCCACCTCTCAGCACCCACTTTAGACTAATGAGGAAACTGTGAAACTTCATGACCCATGGGGAGGGTCGGTGAACAGCAGTGTGGTCTAGAGTCTTAACTGCCTAAGCACATCACAGGAACTCTGCCATCTTTCACTAACTTTGAAGCTTGTTTTAAAACTCGATTAATTTTATATTTTCTTTTCCTAAGCTGAAGGTGCATCCTTCAAGGCCAGAGCCTCAGCCTGGAGCACGTTCTATGAAAACAACTTCTTGAGAGGAGATCTAGCAAATGCCTCAATCATTGCACTTTGCAGAAAACTACTTCACAAAAATGTTTTTCCCTGATCGCAGTGACACTT